GGGCTGTTGGGGCGCGTATCCAGGATACTTATCGAGTAGAGGGCTGTTGGGGCGCGTATCCAGGATACTTATCGAGTCGAGGGCTGTTGGGGCGCGTATCCAGGATACTTATCGTGTCTAGGGCTGTTGGGGCGCGTATCCAGGACACTTATCGTGTCTAGGGCTGTTGGTACGAGTATCCAGGATACTTAATTATCGTGTCAGAATATTACCCGAATGGGAAAAATCATTCTCCGTTGGAGAATAGGAACGGATGGAAGGATAGAAAGGGAAGGGTTGAAAGAAAAAATTTAAATTCGACAGAAACAAATATAATGTACAAGATGTTGAAATATTTTTCGTCTTATATTTTGATAAGTGAGTGAAATTTAAATCTTATCTCCCAAGTAAAATGTAGAGTTGAAGTAAGTAAACTATCAGGAAGTAAACCATCCGGTAACTGGTAAACTATACCCGTAACAAGAATGCAATTACTTCGTTGTTACAAACGGAATTAGAGATTATGATTATAATGGGATTGGAAATCCAAAATCGAATGAATTCTCAAGCTCGAGCAACGCCGTTCCCCGACGCCTGCACCAGCACCATCATGCGGTGCCCCGACGCCTGCACCAGCATCATCATGCGGTATAGGATACGGTGTACATGTCATCAATTATTTATTGCATATATTGAGATAGATATAATGTGCGATATATATTGAATATATTGTGCGATTATATTGAAAGATATATTGTGCGATATATTTACTAGATCACTAATTAATACGAAAACTGTTCACTGATATAGTTTCTCTCTAAAACCAATCACGGACCTCCAATTTGAACGCAAACAAACGTGTAGCGCGAGGCCATCTTTCTACCAGTCCCCAGTCTTGCTTGGACTTCTCCAGCGCGAACTTTTCCCCTCTCGGTTGTGCTTGATTAGATTGTATATTCATTCAAATCGGCCTTCATTGTGGCCCCTTCAACAATTATTTCCTAATTTAAACTTTCACAATCATAACAGCTGCTGATAAGGAATTAGGTGGAGTCGAGTAGCAACGTTAATAATTTTCATTTTTCTTCCTTCAATTTAACAATTTTTTCACGACTGTTGATGCAACTAAATCTTATTTTTTGCATGTTTCTTTCGAACCCTTTTTGTATCATTGTTGGTAAGAAAAGGTAATAATGAATTATAGAAATTAATGGTACGGTAAATTTAAAATCATCATTTTATACTATTAAAATAATGAGTTTTCTTTTTCAAATTACCCGACCCTGAGTCAGGTTATTTAAAAGAAAAATTACACGTGTAAAAGCTTAGTAGCTATTGTAACTCTTTTAATAAATAGCTCAACCAAAAAAATACATTTTAAAACAATTAAGGAGGAATATAAAGAGTTACCCTAATTTTTATATAAATTCTCCATATTTTTTCAGGTTTGAATCGCCAGACATTATGTCTGTGTATTGTTCAACTTTTAGCGCATTTTCTCATTTACGGGAAAAAGACGCTATTGTGCTCGTCTTGTCCGTCTGTCTGTCTGTCTGTCCGTGACTTCACGTTTTTGTCGACGTGAAAATGCGCTCTCTGTCACTCACTGCAGTGAGGACTGAGTTATATTTTTTCATGTTGTTGTCTATCATATAAACTTTCCTGTTACTAATTTCGGACTATATTTATCCGGTAATACAACAAGTTTTGGCTGTATGAGCCACAATTCTCATCTTACATTATAATGTAATCGAAAAAAGTGGAATTCTAATGCATGCAAATCGATTCTCTTGAAATCATTTATTATTTCCCTTAGTCCTCTTAATTAAGTAATCGTTCGAGTAATCCATACACAGTTTTTAGATAAGTCGAGCACACAAGTTTAATCTGATGAAGATATAATAGTAGTACCCGGCATTGTGGCCTCGTCTTAAGCATGTAGAAACAAGAAAAAGTCACTCTAGACTTAATACGAATCAAGGCACTAAAGAAAGCGCTCATGTTCTTTGTCAACCTGGTCAGATAAATTTGCTCATATGAGAGTTCATCCGTATACAATAAAATTTGATTCACACCCGTAATCCATGCAGCCTCTCCCTAACTTCTCGGAGCCTCGACAGCTTCCAATTAATTCAGCTTTAGCTGCAGATTTGTACACATTTACGTATTTTAGCGAGGAACTGTCTCATCGTCAGTTCTAGCAGAACAGTACTACAATCGGGACATCAATGACTGCATTGCATGAAATCATAAATTGGAATAACAACTACTAATAAACAACAAAAATTATAGAAATAATAGAATAAAAATAGTGATGATTTGCCCGGAAGTTAAGAAAGTATTTCCTCTCTGTGTTACGTGTCTACACAAATAATCGGGTAATCTTTAAATTTCACTTTACGCCCTGGGGTAATTTACTCGGTGGTACGCTTTATAAGCGAGGCATTTCTAGGCAAGATTTCTCAGGTTTGCGCCATGACCTCTGCAGTAAAGAGAACGTGTGGAAGGACAACATAGTATACTTTAAAAACCTAAATGCATGGCAGAAGAATTGATGCCCGTTGAAATAGAGAAAATGGTTCATCCAGCCAAACATAGGTCTCTTTCAAGAATTCGGAATGGTTATAATATCATCGAGTATTAAAATCTAGCATTGCTACGACAACATAAAATTTGCTGTCGAAAACCTCGTCTAAGTCTCGTGCCTTTACCATGTCTAGTTAAAGAAAATCACGGCGAAGTTACCCAGAACATCACGGCAGCCGTACCATACCCGTGTTAGGCACCCACGTCCACCGTCTCAACCGGTCTGGTTGAGGATTCTGGTCGACCGCCCACGGCCCCTTCGGCCCTCGTTTATGGTCCAACGAGGCCCAAGTTGCTTATGGTCATAGCAAAGCTTCTTCGACACTTTCAACTACCGGTTGCCTGGCGTTGATAGTGGTAGGCTACACCATTTACAAGTTGCGGCAGCCGCCTTCGCTCTTAGGTTGTCTGTTCTCACGAACTATACTAGCTCAGTCTCAATATTTCTAACAGCCATCAGCGGGCTCACACAGCTGAGTTTGATTACTCTGTTGCTGTTCTCAGCTATGTACGAAACATTTTTGGATAATAATTTTGTATTCTAAATCAGTAAATAATGGTGTTCTTAATTCTACAGAATATATGCCTAATTTAATAGAATGTCTTACCGGCCCCAACTTGGTCAAGCAGAAGCTGGAGCTCAGCAGGAGTTGCGACCACGGCAAACTGGAGACCATCCGCCGCGCAGAGGTCGTTGGTGCTGAGCGACGTCAAGTCGCCAAATACCGTACTGCCCCTACTCAGCACGAAGATCTTCGTACCCTGCAAGAAAAATTTGTTTAATCCCTGAGTTTATTCTGAATGGCGTCCCTACTTGGTATTAATCCGTGTGTATCGTTTTCCCATAGCATCAAAATCTGGAGCGTCTGGGCACTTTCATCAGCAAAGTCTCTGTTCAGCAAAGGCACTTGAATGATACTATAATAATTCCTGGAAAGTGACTAGAGATCTAATATAAAAGTTTAAAGGTTAATTTAAAAATAGCTCGGAACACGCGAGTCTACCTTTTGTTCGAGACACAATTAATGGTTGAAATTTGGGCAATTCTCTGAGCTCTTCAGTAGAGGCACCCGTCTGAGTTTGATGTTGTCCTTAATCCGTGGCTGCTGTAAATTGATTACAGGTGCCCAAGGTTTATTAAATCGTTCACTGAAACATGAATTAGAGGATGCGGTTAAATCATTCATTGAAGGCTGATGTAGTTACGTTCTCTTAAACGTAAGCCTTGCGAAGAGATTGAATTAGTTACTGTGTAGAAGGTTCACAACTCCTGCTGAGTAGAAGGTTCACATCTGCTGCTTAGTAAAAGGTTGACATCTGCTGCTGAGTAGGAGGTTTACATCTGCTGAGTATGAGGTTTACATCTGCTGCTGAGTAGGCATTACGTGGTATGAAACATCAAGCCGAGAATGAATTTAGTCAAGCCATATAACATCAAGCAGAGTATAGTTATAATTGCGGGTTCACTACTTTCATCCATGAGGTTCGGGAAAGTCGAGACTTTTGATTATGTAGCGGTGAGGGCATTTGCCGGACACTGAACTATGAACGTTCTTTGTGGCTGAGGTAAGCAGTTTACTTGAGACTTGTACCGTAATTCGAGAAATATGCGTTCATTTTCAATTTTTAAAATATGCTCAAATTTTGTTAAGGTGCTACCTGAGGCGGTGGTGGAGGCGGAGGTAACGGAGGGGAGCTGGAGTACAAGAGGCAGGATGGCGCTGAGGAGGCCCAGGTTCCCACAGTATAGTTTGAGGTCGCCAGGATGCAGTCCGCGGCCTCGCCCTTACAGTAAGCAAACGCTGGGGCGTTCACTGACAGTGCAAGCGATGCGCACTGGACAGAACGAAGTGGTATAACGTTACAATTCCGGAATACGTTTTTCAACGTTTATGGCATTTTATCAAATAATTCACCTTCTGTATATTACATATTTAATTTAATGAATACATTTTTCTGCGCTTCCTAACAGGCCATTGTTCAGCAGGATCGATATAAGTTTCGTAGGCACAGGCATGGATGATACGGACTAACGTTTATCTCAAGGAATTTAAAAGCAAAGAAAACGCCAAGAAAATTCACCAAATCGATATTGAAAACGTTTCGGAGTCCAGCTCCATCATCAGTTCGACTAAACTAAAAATGATTAAAATCAATTTTTGGAAAAAATGTACATGTTGTATATTATGTCAAAACGGTACTTACTTTAAATAAAAGTCTCGTAGCTTTTTCAAGAAACTATAAAATCAACCTCGTCCACTAAGCACCTCAGATGAACTGACGATGTAGTTCCAAGGGCCACGGTGGCACAAATCAATTGACAATCAAGAAGTTCGAAAGAAAATCACGGCATTCAGAAGCTATGAATATTAGACCTGAGCCTACACTCAGAAAAATGAGCACGCGTTGTTATAAACATTTGCATGTTCGTGTAGTCATCCCGCCATATCCCGGCTAATTTATAAAACAAGAGTAACGTTTTTATGTAGACCTTCTCATTTCTTCTTGTGTGGATTATTTTTTGCATTTGAAATAAATCATGGCCGAGCTTCGCTTCAACTTCACTTCATGTACACGAAGCGTGTACATATTCATCACTTACAAGATTGAAGTTTCTTCAAAGTTTGTTATTTATGAAACACAATCTCATGCTGGACACGCAGCGCTCATATCGTTTAACTGATTAAAGCGGACGCCTGGATTGGAGCGCTCGAAAATTAATCCGTAGAGCATTCGAACACACGCATCGCATGACTTGTAAATTAACGTGTGACATTGATCACATGTAATATTGATCACATGTAATATTGATCACATGTGATATTGATCACATGTAATATTGATCACATGTGATATTGATCACATGTGATATTGATCACATGTGATATTGATCACATGTGATATTGATCACATGTGATATTGATCACATGTGACATTGATCACATATGATATTGATCAGATTTAAATTTTCATGTGATGGTTAAAGGTAAATCATTAAAATAATTAAAACATAATTGAAAAAAGTGACGATGCATGCTTAGTTTGCTGACATCTTTGACTGAGTATGTTTTACGAACGCAACCATAAAACCCAATTGACCAAATTTGAGTCGATCGCACAATTGGAAACTGGAGGAGAATAGTTGATCCTTTGATGAAAACACGAAATAAAGGAGGAAGAGGGCAAGCAATTTCTATCGTATAGGAATTTCATCAGATACGTTGCATGTGGCAATGTATCTGCGATAACTGTGAGCATTTATCGTTCATTTTGGCAAGTTTGACTGAAGACCAGGGAGTGAGTTTTATTTATAATCTTCTAGTTGGCTTTCTCAAATCAATATTTACCTCATACTGATATTTAATTAATCCTAATATATCAAATATGCCACAATGTCTCACAATAATATTTATCACTGCCTATATTCATCACAAACAAGATAATTATCGAGAAAGTGGCATTCTAATTTTCTCCACATGTGTACCATAAAAATTGATACTCGAAGCCCATATTTGATCTTCATTCTGTAGGCACGCATCTGCAGGCACCCATTGAAAGAAAATTGTACGTAGTTTACTCCATATGGACAAACAAGTTATGAAATTTCTGAAGTAGTAAATATCATTAAGGCCTCAACATAAACAGTTGAAGACATGGATTGATCCACCCAGTTATTTGGCTCCTATATGTTCGTTAGGAAGATTCTGTACTCCCTGTCCAGCATACTGATAGTTCGGACAGCAGTAGTAACTCGGACGATGAATATATAATTCCTACCGATATTGTGATGTCGAGAAATAGTGATCGAGATGAAGGGAATACAGAAAATGAATGTACATCTGTTAGGAGTACATTCATAGGAGTATTGTTGAACTAAGCTGGCAATATTTATCTGCGCTTGATAAGGATTTTTTCGCTAAATTTTCAAATATACAGGATAGATATTTTATGTTTGAATTTGCTAGGGAATTTTAAGGAGCTCTTAATGAAGCCGAGAAAAGTGTATAAGATTAGACTTTTGGCAGCGATGAGATGCATTTTTTGCTGCCGGAGAATGTATAGCCTCGATGTTCGCCTAGAGAACTAAAGGATGACGATTGCCTGCATTGCAGAGGCTTCAGATAGGATCGGAGCGTAACAACTTACCCGAGGCAGACTCAGACGGGTGTCGTACAGTGACGAGGTCGCTGGGACCTGTTAAAGAATATGCAAATGTGCGATCGGCTCCGCTTGAATATAAAACTTTTGGTAAATGTTAGAGTTTTGTTCATTTTACCGTGTTATTTTAAAGCAATCAAGTTTATTTGCATTTTAATGTTAGAGTTATTGGGAGCGGAGCATTCAATTTAACCTTGTAATTTTGTTTTGTATGCATAGTTTCAATTAACGGTAATAAATACGTCACGTCAATATGCAGTTTTACTAGCATAAATAAATGTTTATGTTGCAAATATTGTCTCGTTTCAAGCTGGTGTGATAGTTGCCCCCCTCGGAAGGGGGCAATATTCAAGGGAAAGCTCGTATTTTATCATTATGCGTGTTATTTTACTTAGAATTCATTAATTATTTATTTGGAGTTGTTCGTCGCCATTTTAATCTGAACTTTACGGAAGTAAGAATGCTGAAGGCGTGATTTGCTAGATTACTGAGCGGTGTGAAGCCCGAGCGCAGGTACGTAGTGTGTTAGGAGATAACGTATTATTAAATTATATTTGAAATTATGTAAATCGACGCATATGAGTAATTTGTGATGCGTTACTTGATTTATATATTCATTACTATATAGTTTACTAGTCAGAAGTTCAATTATTGTTCATTTCAACATTTCAGGAAAGCCTCAAACCCAAGACTTGAAACTAGAGACTTGTCTTCTTCTCTGATGAATATATCAGTTGGCCAGCACGTGGATTGTTTATACCATAGTGCATAGATTGTGCAATAAAGTAGTTTTAACTGGAGACTATCAGTGACCCAATGATCCTATTCGATCATGTAGGCCCTATCATTGACAAAATAATCCTATTCGATCATGTAGGCCGAGTTGATATGTCGGTGACCCTAACAAGACATTGCACTACATGAAGGTATGGCACCTCACCACAGGTCCCTACAAGATCAAGTGAACTTTTTACCAATAACAAAAATGTGCGTTTTCTGCAGTGAGGAGGAAAATTTTATTAAGATTTACCGGGAATGAACGAATTTTGAATAGAAGTAAACGAAAATGTTTAAACTTTAATTTAAATCGACTTGTACGAGTTCGCGATGGCAACGAACGCTAACACCGCTGTTCGATCACCGCTAAAAAATGAATGGAAATTAAATGTACAAGATTTGAAAAATGTTTAGAGCAAAGAATAAGAATGCATAAGAAAAATATGATAATAAACTATTGTTGTGTGAAAAATACATCTAAATTTTATGATAGATAAATGATAAATATTTGGATCTAAATTGTATCGGCTCCTAAAGAATACAACACGATCAGAACGGTTCAGCATTGGTTCCAACCTCAAAGCTTAGCTGCAAGTGGACAAGGAGGTTCAATAATTCAATACAAGATTTAATGCACTTAATATAATAGTGTCAAGAGAACAATGTTGTAATTATTGGTTAAATTTGCACTCTAAACACAGAAGCAAGAAACAATCACTCAAATGGTAATAGTAATTAAATATAAGGTATATCAATGAACTACACCAGCGTACAAGAATGCACAGGCAAGTCAAGAGTTAACTAAGAGCAGCTAACATGTATTTATGGGTGACTGGACCTTCAGCACTGGCAGCAGTCACGTGGATATAGGTTAGGTTAGGTGAGGATAAGTTGTCTACTATCATCATAATTGAGAATAAGTTGTCTGCTATCATCACAACTGAGGATAAGTTGTCTACTATCATCACGACTGAGGATAAGTTGTCTTCTATCATCACAACTGAGGATAAGTTGTCTACTATCATCATAACTGAGGATAAGTTGTCTACTATCATCACAACTGAGGATAAGTTGTCTACTATCATTTAGAGCAAAGAATAAGAATGCATAAGAAAAATATGATAATAAACTATTGTTGTGTGAAAAATACATCTAAATTTTATGATAGATAAATGATAAATATTTGGATCTAAATTGTATCGGCTCCTAAAGAATACAACACGATCAGAACGGTTCAGCATTGGTTCCAACCTCAAAGCTTAGCTGCAAGTGGACAAGGAGGTTCAGTAATCAATACAAGATTTATTGCATTTAATTTGATAGTGTCAAGGGAACAATATTGTAATCATTGATTAAATCTGCACTCCAAACACAGAAAAATGAATAGAAGCAAGAAACAATCACTCAAATGGTAATAGTAATTAAATGTAGGTTACATCAATGAAGTACACCAACGTACATGAATGCACAGGCATTAACAATCATACACTACCATCATCACAACTGAGGATAAGTTGTCTACTATCATCACAACTGAGGATAAGTTGTCTACTATCATCATAACATAGGATAAGTTGTCATAAGAATTAAATATTTAATCATAGAATTAAATAGAATGCGGCTACAGTTTATATTATTATTGTGCTGAAGATTTCGCGGCAATATTGCGGCAATATACCTCATTGATAGAATTTTATAGCCATGCAGCATTGCAGGCTTCAATCAAACGTCCAAGCAACCTGACTGTCTAGTATATGGCGTACATTCAATCAAATATTTATTGCATATGCTGAGATACGGTGAGAGATATATTGTGCGACATATTTACTAGAACACTAATTAATACGAAAACATTTCAATGATATATTTTCTCCCTAAATCCTACCACGGACCTCCAACTC